TGCATAAGAGATATCCGATTGAGTAATAGTTAGGTAATTGAGTTTCCCAATCAATCTGCGATACCGACCTGGATTCTTAAATAATGTACCATCATCCATCAATATTTTCTGATTCGGATCCATAGGAACATCAATCGGTCTTTCACCCAGCAAACCTGCTTTCTCTAGCATGTTAAGTACATATTTCTTCTGTAATAAACAAATATCCTGTTTAGATCGAGCCACTTCAATTCCCAAGAAATACTTGAATTTTTTCAAATCTTTAGTATAAAATCGTTCTTGCAAAAAGATTTTTAACTTGGCAATCTCCTCAGAATCATTTATAGTAATCATAATATCATCTACATAGATCACCAATAGGACATATCCAACATCCGTCTGTCTGTGAAATACAGAATGGTCTGTCTGGTATCAAAGCAGACTAAACTTTAAAATTACATTTGAAAACTTACCAAACTATGTCCGTTTCAAGCCATACAAATATTTCTTTAACCGACATACACTCTTACCATACTCCTCTTGAGAAGTAAACCCAGGTGGCTGCTTCATGTATACCTCCTCAACCAAGTCACTATGTAGGAAGGTATTCTTGACATCTAACTGAAATAAGGGCCAATCAAGATTAACAGCCAAAGAAATCAAGATACGAGCAGAGGAAATTTTTGCAACAGGGGAGAAAGTCTCCTCATAATCAACACCATAGGTCTGAGTAAAGCCCTTTGTAACAAGTAGGGCTTTGAGACACTCTACAGAACCATCCGGGTGAAATTTAATACTGTACACGCAATGACAACCAATAGTTCGTTTACCAGGGGGTAAAGGAACGAGATTCCAAGTCCCATTATGATTTAAGGCATCCATCTCATCGTCCATAACTTTCCTTCAACCCAGATCAGATAAAGCAGCCTGTAAATGCTTAGGGATAGATATAGTAGATAATTGAAAAGTAAAACACGAGAAGACAGGAGATAAGGCAGTATATGAAACAAAATGAGCAATGGGATGCTTAGTAACACACGAACGAGCAGGTAAAGAGTTGAAATTACCTGATGGACCAAGATCAGAAGGCGGCAAGGAAGACGGTACGGACACCTTAGTCGATGGTCGAGGACGACGAGAGTATACATGAAGAGGTAAAGTAGACGGTAACATAGTGGGCACCGGAATATCTAAAGATGAGGGAACAGATGGTGGTACAAGAGGTGACCTAAAGTTCAGATCCAAAGGCTGAGAAGATGTTGAAAAATATGGAATAGATTTCTCAAATGTGACATCGGCACTAGTAAAGTATCGTCGCAGAGAAGGACTGTGGCAACGATACCCTTTCTGTGTGCGAGAATAACCAAGAAATACACATTTGGTAGCTCGAGGATCAAGTTTATCAAACCCAAAATCCAAATTGTGAACATAACAGACACATTCAAAAACCTTAGGAACTAGGAAAAATAAGGTTTTATCAGGAAAAAGAACAGAATATGGACTTTGCCCATTTAACACAGTGGATGACATACGATTAATTAGGTAACAAGCAGTAAGAACAACATCACTCCAAAAATAATAGTAAATATTCATCTGGAATAACAGGGTACGGGTGATTTCTAACAAATGACGGTTCTTGCGTTCATCAATACTGTTCTATGGAGATGTGTAAATACAGGAAGTCTGATGAATAATATCAGTTTTACTAAGATAAGCTAAAAAAGGATCAGATTCATATTTTCGAGCATTATCAGAATATAAAATACGTATACGACAATTATACTGAGTTTTTATTTTCTTACGAAAGGTCTCAAATATAGAGGATAATTCAGACCGAGCTTTCATAAAAAATAATCAAGTCACACGAGAATAGTCATCCACAAAAGACACAAAATAAGAATATTTATTAGATGAAATATTATTTATTGGATCCCATACATCAGAATGTACCAACTCAAATGGACTAGATACAAGATTATTGACTCTAGACGGAAATGACACACGGTGATGCTTCATAAGTTGACAAGCTTTATAAGACAAAGACGACACACAACTAAGACTGGGAACTTGACACTTCAGATTTTGTAGAGAGGGATGTCTAAGACAACAATGTCATTGAAAATGAGACAACGAGGTCTGTAGAGCTCGAGTAAGTGAATCAAAATCAAAGTAATATAGGCCACCGGTTTCATGTCCCGTACCAATCTTTCTCTTCGTCTTGAGATCCTGAAAGACATAATAAGAGGGATAAAAGATTACAAAATAATTGAGAGAACGGGTAATTTTACTAATGGAAAGTAAACTACAAGAAAACTGAGGAACAAATAGCACGGATGATAGGGACATATCAGGATTCAAGTGAGTAGTCTTCAAACCTAAAATTTTAGAACAAGTACTATTAGCAAGAGTAACATTATGTGTAGAAGTAGTAGATTGATAAGTAGAAAAAACATCAGACGCACCAGTCATGTGGTTAGAAGTACCAAAGTCTATGATCCGGAGACTGCGGGTGGAGGACAATAAACAAGTGAAAGTAGTACCTGACTGGGCAAAAGTAGCAGTGGAGGGAGATGGAACAGCCTGTTGCTGGGACAGAAACTGGGCATACTCCTCTCGACCTTGTGTAATAGTAACCGATCTAGTGTCTGGTAGAATTGACTAAGGTATGTAAGCAACAACAGAGGTATCATCCTGATAAGAAGCCTGATTAGCAGCACCAGTAAATACACAGTAACCGATCTAGTGTCTGGTAGAATTGGCTAAGGTATGTAAGCAACAACAGAGGTATCATCCTGATAAGAAGCCTGATTAGCAGCACTAGAAGATTTACCATGTAAATCCCAATAGAAGTCAATAGTGAGTACAAGAACGGGATGTATTACGACTCCCACAACCACCCGTACGACTTCCTTGACCACCACATCCACCTCGATGACCATCACTATGGCTACTAGGAACCACAAGAGCTAAGCGATCAGTGGAGACACCATGATCAATGCCTGAAGGAGTAGACAATGTAGCACGCTATAAACGAGAAAAAACTTCAAGCAGTGATGGAAGACTAGAATCACCCAAAATCTGAGAATGAATATCCTCATATTCAAATTTCAATCCTAACGAAAACCTAACAACATTCAGGTCCTCATGTTATTTCTGCCAAACTGCTGCATCAGTAGTAAATAGATGGTAGGTCTTCATCTCCTCACAAACTCCTCGAACATGAAAGTAATAATTCACAAGGCTCAGAGTACCCTGCTCCAATTGGAAGTACTCTTTGCACACCACATACGCATGGGTAAAATTTCGTGTACTAGAATACATGGTGGCCAAGTGATCCCATATCTCCTTGGCAGTGTCAAGTTAGAGCAAAGTAAAACTAATACTAGGCTCAATGTTATTAAACAGTAAGGAAATGATCTCAGCATCCTCTTGTTCCCACTGATCATATCCAGGAGTAGCTTCCTCGAGTTTACAATTCACCAAATATTTTTTAAATCCTTTGCCATGAAGAAAGACTTGAGTGGACCGGGACTATAAAAGTATAATTGGTCTCATTAAGTTTAACGTAGGTCATGGGACCATTGATAATAGTTGGAGAGGTAGAGGTGGGTGGTAAAGCTGGAGTAAGGGACCCGGTATCCTGCTTGGGTTCCATAGCAGTGCAGCCAATAGCAAATAGCAAATAGCAAATAACAAATAGAGGGTGCTATAATGCTAGAACACAGTAGGTCATGGGATCATTGATAATAGTTGGAGAGATAGAGGTGGGTGGTAAAGCTGGAGTAAGGGACCCGGTATCCTGCTTGGGTTCCATAGCAGTGCAGCCAATAGCCAATAGCAAATAGCAAATAGAGGGTGCTATAATGCTAGAACACAGAATCGGACAGAATTGGACCTACTAAGGCTGCTGGAGGACTGAACCAGACCACTTGAGGCTGCTAGAAGGCTGAACCGAACCTCAAAAGCCTGTTGGAAGGCTGAATCGGACCTCAAAAGCCTGCTGGAAGGATGAATCGGACCCCGAAAGCCTGCTGGAAGACTGAATCGGGCAGACTAGGTGCACGGGACCGATGAACCGGAGTGAAAGATGACTGAACCGGTGCAAAAACTAACTAAACTGGGCCATAGGAGGTTATTGGACCGCTGAACCGGAGTCACTACTGAATGAACTGGTCTGAATCGGTCTAAAGCTAATTGAACCGGGATCAAACCACGATTGACCCGGTCCAAGTTGCACATTGGGTTGGGCTTGATCTGATTGGATCCGAGCTGATTGGGTTTAATATAATTGGGTTTGAAATTGGGCTTGCCTTGGACTTCTTTGGCCGTTGACTCGGGTATGAGTTTGGATCTTTTATCCAAACCCGTGAAGTCGGGTCTGGACCTTTTCTTCTTCATAATTAGGGTTTCAGTAACCCTAATCTTCGACTGTGCTTCGACCACCACAGCGAGCAACTACGATGACCACGATGACTAGACAAATCACCACGATGACCACACCACCACAACTACACCACGACGACGACACGACAAAAGATGATCAACAGTACCACACCACCACCAACAATGACAAACAGTACACAGAACAACCGTATCACTACCACCACCGTAGCTTCGACCACAACATCGCCACTAGCGACGATCAACAGTACCACCACCACAAATTGAGTTAATTTATCCGAAATATATTTAGGATTAAACCATGCTTTGATATCATGTTAAGTGTAAAGGATTAACACAATATATTGAAGAGGAACACAGAGAGGTCAAAAGTTTGACCTAGTTTTCATATATCATTGTATTTATAGTTAACTTACAATAATAAGAATTACACATACTACCCTACCTCTATTAATGATTTACACATACTACCCTAATACTCTTAAAAATCTTGAATAAGCAAACTAGTTGATGCTAAAGGACCAAGAAACTTGAAATTCTCAAATATTGCTAGATGAATAGCCATTCTTTGTATTATTTTATTTGATCTATCTTAATGCAAGTGCTATTTTTTTTAATAGGTGACCAGGATGCCATTCAATATATGTGTAGGGAGGCACCAAAGGCAGTTATAGAGCTTGAGAATTATGGGTTACCATTTTCACGGACTGAAGATGGGAAAATATATCAACGTGCATTCGGTGGTCAAAGCCTGAACTTCGGAAAAGGTATGAAGATGAATGTTACGGATTGAAATGTTACATCATTCCTATGGAATGTTTACTGACTTTGGCTTGTTAAATGGTGTTGTTTGTATAGGTGGACAAGCATACCGTTGTGCATGTGCTGCTGATCGAACTGGGCATGCTTTATTGCATACTCTTTATGGCCAGGCCATGAAACATAATACACAATTTTTTGTAGAATATTTTGCTTTGGATCTTCTTATGAGTGATGATGGTACGCAAACTGTGGCCTTTTTGTTTTAATTCTTTTCTCTCTGATTGTAATATGGGACCAATGTGTAACAGTTGTACAACTAGAAGCATGGGAAGAGTGAAATATATACCAAGTTTATTTTTTGTGCACCTGAAGGAAATATTATGGATATGGTCACAAAATCCTCCATTTGGAAATTAGAATATTCTAAACTGGTGGTTATGTCACTTACAAAGTTATGCATGACACTTAGCCTTTGGGACTTGGTAGTTTGGACTTTGGACACTCAGTTATTTTGAACGTCTCGGTCCATATATATTTACTTGCTGTAAATAAATGCATGTGAAAACATGTAATTATTGATTCCACTATATATAGTAGAATGTATTCTTGAACTCTACCACCTATTTGTATTTCATTCCATGATTTGTTGAGAGCCTTTTTTTTTTTCCTTAGAAGTTGTGTACTTTCCAGAGTCCTTGTAGAATAGGAGTATGTACATAGATATCTATATGGACAAACACTTTTATGCTCATATATATCTCTGTGTGTCTGTGTGTGCGTGCTTTTATGGATCCACTTATTGGCATTCGTGCATAATGTTTACTGAAAAGTTAGGTGATTGTTGATTTTGATATCAGGTAGCTGTCAAGGTGTCATTGCACTAAATATGGAAGACGGCACCCTGCATCGGTTCTGTGCTGCTTCAACAATTCTGGCCACAGGGGTATCCCATCGTCATTTTGTTTGACTTCAGATGAGTCACACTTGCAATGTTTAACTTGTATCTGTAATGCTTCCCTCAGGGCTATGGTAGAGCATATTTTTCTGCAACCTCTGCTCATACTTGCACTGGAGATGGCAATGCTATGGTTGCACGTGCGGGACTTCCTCTTGAGGTTTTTCTGTTGTTGTTTTTAAGTTGAATATAGTTATAGTTTCCTATCAATATGTTTTGTAGTCCAGTATTGCTATAATCTTTTTGTTGCAGGATCTCGAGTTTGTGCAGTTTCACCCAACTGGTATATACGGTGCAGGGTGCCTCATTACTGAAGGTTGGTGCTTTCTACGTTATTTGGTAGTGGATGAAAATATTATCTTTTTTTTATTGGCTCCATGCTCTCTTGTGCTGAACCATTTCTCAAAATATAGCCTTTTAAATTGTCATCCTTTTAAGTATGTTGAGGATTCTTCTTGCTCATCCTTTGTATTCCTTTTGTCATGTGTAGGATCTCGTGGGGAAGGTGGTATTCTTAGGAATAGTGAAGGTGAAAGATTTATGGAACGGTATGCCCCAACAGCCAAGGATCTTGCATCAAGAGATGTTGTTTCAAGATCTATGACCATGGAAATCCGAGAAGGTCGTGGTGTAGGTATGATCTTTTTAATGGCACCGGATTTATCACAAATTTAGTTAAGTATTGCTTTGAGTTTGTCAAACCAGGGATGTGTATTTAACTTACCTTGTAATCTTTATATCCCTTCCATCACAACTGTGATGGCTTCACTGCCACTCAAATCCCACGATCCTTGTGAATTCCTTCAGCACCGCCATTCCACATTGCTCCCAGTGACAATCATCTTACCACCAATGCTGATTCTATTATTTTTTTCTAAAAAAAGGGTAACCAAAAATGAAAGAGGATTATTGCAAGCGGGGTCATTGATTGAAATTGTGAGGTATATATGTCTCGTTTTTTGGCTTAATTAGGACATGAATGGCCAATGGGTTTTGTTCCAGTGTCAGAATTTGCTTGTTTAGAAAGTTCTACATTTTTTCTTGTTTGTGGAATAAATTTGTTGTTGTCACCTTGATTTATCATGTCTTATATTATTGTGTGTGGTTAGGGTTCCATTATTTGATTTTGATTGTTATGAATATTATTTTTTAGTTCTGAAATTTACAATTTGGTTTTTCAATTGTATTGTTTATTTTTTGGAATTTAATTTTCTACGTAATCAGTTTAAGGTTACCCGAGGTAGTCATCTTGCTGACTTTAAGGGATAATGATGGTGCAAGAGCATGGTGAGGTGGATAATGAAGCTGATGAAACAAGTGATGTTTACATAAAACATTAGGTAACCCATGTCTGAGGGTATGATGCAGCATAAGTGAGAAGTGATAGATTTGTGGGGAGGAAAATTCAATGTGAATAGTTTTGAGAGGAATGTTGGTGGCCGTCGGATGAATTTATTTAAGACTATCGGATGGGCTTATTGAAGTTTGCCTTGTTTTATATTATAGATGGTGTTGATCACAAAAATGGTGGACAAGAGTGGTGGTTAAGATGGTTTTGTGGTGACTCCTAGAGATGGGGATTAGGGGTGGTGGTGCAGTGGAAGTGCTGAAGTCTTGAGATGAATGTTGGTGGCCGTTAGATAAGTCTATTTGAGACCATCGAATGGGCTTATTTAAGTTTGCTTTGTTTTATATTATAGATGGTGCTGATCACAAAAATGATGGACAAGAGTGGTGGTTAAGATGGTTCTGTGGCGACTCCTAGAGATGGGGATTGGGGATGGTGGTGCAGTGGAAGTGCTGAACAAAATATTTATCTTATATATTGACCAGCCCTTTAAGAGTTCATGAGGCCATTTCTAAATTTAAATTTTGGCACTTCTAAATCCCAGTAGTTTATAGTTCAAAAGGCACTTTTCTTTAAATCTCAACTTATTTTTTTGGCATTCTTGAATCCATCTGGTATGATGTGACACCTCTTGGTTGTACTTCATGTTTTGTTATCTGATTCTTACACCTTTTAATGCTTTACATGTTGATATTCAATAGGATCCCTCAAGGATCACATTTATCTCCACTTGAATCACTTACCCCCAGAGGTCCTTAAGGAGAGGCTCCCAGGTATATCCGAAACTGCTGCCATTTTTGCTGGTGTTGATGTTACAAAGGAGCCAATCCCTGTTTTGCCTACTGTTCATTATAATATGGGTGGAATTCCCACAAATTACCTCGGAGAGGTAAAAATTAAGTTCAATAAGTGAAATCGTGAGATTTTGCCTTGTTAACTTGTAGATAGTGTTGAAAGTTGTCTTTTTCCTACCAATGTGAAATATTTGCTCCCCAGGTTGTTACCATTAAAGGTGGTGATCCTGATGCAGTTGTTCCTGGACTAATGGCTGCTGGGGAGGCAGCCTGTGCATCTGTGCATGGTGCCAATCGGCTTGGGGCAAATTCCCTTCTTGACATTGTTGTTTTTGGTCGAGCTTGTGCAAATAGGGTTTCAGAGATCCGTAGACCAGGTAAGTTATTGCTCATTATTCCAATGGCTACATCTTAGAAACCAGGCAGTGCATTGTATGATGCTTTACTTTCTGTTGTGCAGGGGAGAAACAAAAACCTTTGGAAAAGGATGCTGGACAAAAGACTATTGCATGGTTGGACAAGCTAAGGAATTCCAATGGTTCACTTCCAACATCAAAAATCCGGTTGAATATGCAACGAGTAATGCAAAATAATGCTGCTGTGTTCCGCACACAGGATACATTAGAGGAAGGTAAAATATAACACCTGCCCCTCCTTTCCAAATCAGACATATTCAGATAATGTGAAGGATGCTATCAAACTTATCGTCTCTTTGTCCATTTTGTATGCATACCATTTCTCTTAACCAGTACTTTTTGCGAATATGAAACAAGCTTGAATCGAGTATTGCAAGTGTTGTGATTTACTTATTAAAGTTTACGATTACCATATTTTATTTGTTCTGCTTTCTTTCATATCTGTGTCAATCTATTGCTGTTGCAGGTTGCCAGTTGATTGACAAAGCATGGGAGAGTTTTCATGATGTTAAGTTGGAGGACCGAAGTTTGATATGGTAAATTTTGTGTGCCAGGACTATTTATGCAGACATTATTCTGCAAAAGTTATCCATATTCCCTGGCTTTGTGTGAAGTGTGAACATATTTTTGCCAGGAACTCAGACTTGGTAGAGACTATGGAGTTGGAAAACCTTTTAATCAATGCATGTATCACCATGCATTCTGCTGAAGCTAGGAAAGAGAGCAGAGGAGCACATGCTCGGGAAGATTTTCCGGTTAGTTTAGGATTTTTGTTTCATGATTTTGATTTGTTTGTCTCCCCTTTTTCTTTAATAATGGAACATAACACTCTGGCTATGCAGAAAAGAGATGATGAGAACTGGATGAAGCATACAATGGGGTAAGTACTGTTTTTCTTCATTCTCTTCCTAATCACTTGAACTTCAACCCCTCTCACCGGTAAATAAATCAAATTAAGATCTTAAAGAAGGGTTGCTATTGTCTAAATAGGATACATATCAAAACTAAGAGCTTGAGTGGTTCTCAAAAAACTGGCTCTCGTCTAGGTTGCATGAGTTGCAATTTTTTGTGCCAAGGATAAAGGATTTTTGTGGTCAACATATTAACTTGAAATCATGAAGTGAAAAAACACAATGGAAAAAGTCCAAGTTGACATTTTAGGTGCCTAGCATACTTATATGAGGCTTATAAGGATCATTAACCAGTCTGGTTTTCCATTAATTAAGGTAGTTGTGAGAGGTGTGCTGGTCTAAATCTAACCTTTGGTATTATTTACACAAAATGGTTGCCTTCAGATTTAAATCCACAATTCATGGTTGTTAGCCCAATAGTTACCATACACAACAGTAGGCTATTACCCAATAAAACAGAGAGAAAGAAATAGAAAGATAAACTAGGTGCCTAGCTTGCTGCGGATACAAGGAAATCCTGCTATGATTTATCAGTACAGCATGCATCCAGGAAAAATTGGCTGCAGCAGTTGGTATGTATGAATGGTGTATGAAGAATTTAGGATGCAAAACACTCATTAGATGTAAACCATCTAACTAGAAAATGAAGCTTGGTCAATTCTGTTAAGACTTGAGAGAATGATATGATTTTCTTCTTTTTGATGAAATAAGAGTGATACAGCTGGGAAAGTTGTATGCTGGGGAATTGGATGACTATGATGGTGGTATCATGAGCCCATCACCTGGAAGCGGCCTAAAATAACAATGAGTTGGATTTGTTCAAGGGCGAAGGGTCATAGTTTGTTTGGAGGCACTTTGCATGATGATATGATATCTCTTGTAATTGAATTGACAGGAAACTTTTTAACCCAAATTTTTTTTCTTTGGTGGTCACCTTTAAGATTCAAATTTCTAAATTGTTGCCTTGCTTCTCCTGGATTTCCTGTTCTGTTAATAGTGTTCATGTTCACTGTAATCTGCAGATATTGGGAGAATGAGAAGGTTCGGCTAAATTACAGGCCAGTTCACATGAATACACTAGATGATGAGATTGAGTCATTCCCACCAAAGGCACGTGTGTATTGATGTGTTTGCTCATCAGAAGATGGATAGTGACCCGAGAACATAATTTGTTTACTATTAGGGTTGCAATAAATTATTTGAATAGAAGCACAATTTTGATAATAATTGTTGCATTACCTTCCAAAAATAATAATTGTCGCATTCATCAGTCCTAATCTGATGCAACTTGAAGCGTTTCACATATCTTGGAGCAAAATGTACTTCTGCATCTGCATTAGTTAGTAACAATCAAGGATCAAAATATTGTTTCGGTGTATTGTTTCGGTCACTTAGGAAACGGAAACGTTGCGATGTGTTTCGGAAATGTTTCAAGCCGTTTTGGAAACATAATGAAAAAAATAAAAAATTTAAGAATTATTTTTTTAAAATATTGATGAAAATATATTAAAATATCTTAAAATACTGCAATACATTCTAAAATAATTGTATAAATGCATTGAAATATTATAATACATTTAAAAATATTATGAAATACCTCGAAATATTATAATTTTGACTCTATCACTATTTTGTTTTAGTATCTTTAGAAACGAAAATGTATCATACGTTTTGACTATTTTAAAACGGTATTTTGATCCTCGGTAACAATATCCCCATATGCCCACTTTTTTATTACTGATCTTGTGCTTCGGTTTTCTTTTCATTTTCATGACCGACTAACCTTGGTGAGGGCCCAGAAAAGTTGAAGGTCCTCCAGGTTGAAGTGACCCCTAGCTTCCTTTGCTGCCTAGTCTCATCTCTTAAATTTATTTTTGGTAATTATCATGATCTCTCCTGAGATTCCCCTCAAGTATGAATATTTATTCTGCACTCCTTTTTTACATCAATTGTCGATAACAGATTCTCTCAATAGTTGGTGTTCCTTTAAGTTGACACTAAGGCTGGTCAATGTAAGCACGTTTTATGTTCAAAACATCCACATTGCCCATATTGAAACCATGTGCAAAGTGCGAGGATTAATTCAACCAAACCTTTACGGAGATCATTGTAAATTAATAAACAAAAATGAAATTTAAACGCTAAAATTCGAAAACAAAATACTATAATGGCAGGACTAAGACTCACTCCTCTCTTATCTCTTTTCCTCTGCCTTTGCTCCACCATCACTCTATAAGGCCGAAGCACCATGTCTATCGTTCACTACCAGGAGCAGGGCTATCAGGACTTCAATAACCATGACTATAACCCCTACCTGAATTCATCTCCACAACGACCATCACCCACCACCATCGTACTTTTTATCAACGGGACACCTCCAACAAATCCAGTACATGAATCCGAGTCTCCACATGACTACAACAATCACTGGCAACACTCACACCACCACCACCCGAAATATATTTGCATGTATATGTAGACAGGAGAGTGAGGATCATGTATGTGCAGGTGCTTACATTGCCACCAATGGTTGCGAGCTCTGGTCTTTCCTCACAATTGATGGTTTGTCCATTTGCCATTTGATGGATATAGTCCAGATCTCGGAGTCCAAATATTGCTTTCCAGTCTTCGGATATCATCAATCACATCTAACTTGTTGACACGTTGGCATGCATATGCACACATGAGCATATAAGAAACTCGACACGTGGCACGTTATACCTAACATTGCCCATGGGTTTCTAAATGAATCACTTACACACGTTAGTAGTTGCGGGACATGCATGGGCTAGTTTAAGGTACACTAAACTGTACATGATTAACCCTAATGATGACCCCCTAAACCAAAATCTCACTCAACCCCACCTATAAAAGCCCTGATTAATGAAACGCAACTGTAAGCAATTCTTTCAAAAAAGAATTAACGTATACCTAAACAAGCTCTATACTTTCTTTGTCGCTTTCCACCCGCATCCACATACTGACTTAAGCATCGGAGGCGGTTCGGCTAGAGCCACATCGGTTTCTTACTCTTAAAACTTTATTTGATAGGTCTCCAAATTTACTGACTGATCCATCAGTTGACGCTGTGTGTAGGAAGAACAATTTCCTACTCTTTCTTTTCATCTAATCATCCCCCCCAAGGATCAAAGCAAGAAAGACCAAACTGACAAAGATGTAGAAGCTGCTAACCCTTTCGAAAATCAACTTGATGATCGAGCCTCTGTTGAACGTATATAGGGTGAGGTCGTCATGTTGGGACAACAAGTTCATCAAATGGTGGAGGCCCTCTAGGTGGTCCTCCAACAACAACATCAAGCACCTCCACCACCTAACCCTCAAAACACCCCGAAACTGGCCTGCCTAGCACGTAATATCATCAACCATTATCCTCCTCCTAGCTAAAATGGGGAACCCAAGAAGATCCAAATGAATCTTGAGAACCTAGGATAAGGAGGAAGTCACAAATAACTCCCTTGACTGGGGGGATCAGATGAGGCTTTCTGGATGCAACTGGGGAAGACCTCAAGTATGCCTTGAACAACAAAATTGAACCACCCACTAAGAAGGAAGGAACTCCATTTATCCTTGCTGTGGTGGCTTGCCCATTGTCGGTAGATTTTCGGATGCCTTAGATTGATAGCTTTGAAGGTGGTAAAGATTCAATTGACCACCTCCAGAGGTTTAAAGACCTTATAACCCTCCATGCATTTCTAGAAGAGATCATGTGTTGAGTTTTTCCAACCACCATAACAAGGAATACTCACGTACAGTTCAACAAATTGCAACCAGCCACAATCTCTACTTTTTCCCAATTAAGCCACTTCTTTGTATCACATTTTCTAGGGGTGCAGAAGCACCAAAAATCGACCATTATTTTCTTAACACCAAACAACAAGTAGATGAATCCCTCTGAAATTATGTCACCCGGTTCATCTATGAGGCCTTGCATGTCGAGGACCTTGATGATCAAATCTCTCTCACTACTTTTATGGGAGGGATTAGCGCTCCCACTTTTCTCTATTCTTTGTCAAAATTGCCCTTGAAAAATCACGACAGACCTCCTAAGTAGGGTTTTAAACTCGACCTGGCCTGACGGGTTGACCCATTAATCCAGTGAACTGGAACCTGAACTAGGCCAGTTCACAACTTGGACCTTTTGTGCATAGAACCCAAATTCAACCCAATGAACCAACTATAAAATTGCAAAAACCATTCAAATCGGACTAGTTTGAACCAAAACTGGACAGTTCAATTTATTGAGTATAAATTCCAGAATTTTAGCCCTTTATGTTTGCCCTAAATCTGATCGTTTCCTTCCCAGCTCTATCTCTTCGAGTCTTTGTCGATGGTGAAAAACGTGAATCTTTCTCTCTCTATTACAGTTACTCTCATTTTCTATCTCTTTCTGAGTCTCTGCTTCTTGCAAATGATCTTAGTTTGAAGTGGATTTTCTTCCATTTATCAGAGCTCCATCGACTCGAGTCATCCACCAATACCCAACAAGATAGTAGCAGGTATACTCTCTACCTTTCTCTCTCATTCAGTCATTTCCTTTCCCTCTCTTTCTCGTTCAGCAAAAGGTATACTTCAGTCATTCTCTTCTCTCTCTCGTCTTCCTACTCTAGTCTCTACTACTATCTATTTATCTATTTTTTTCACTCTACATTCTGCAGTATCAGATTTTTGGTTTGTATTTTGTTTACAATATTGAATATATATTGAATCTTTGATTGATTTGATTTTTGGTTTGTAAACAATCTAATTTTAGGTATGTATTTTATACATTGTATGATTAAATGAGTCCACTAATTTTATATACATTGATTCATTGATTGTGATGGTTTGTGCTTTATACATTGAATGAATGATTGAAGATTTGTATTTTATACATTGACTAGACAATAGGGAAGATTTGTCTTTTATAAATGGTGATGAAGTCACTGGTTTTTGGTTTTGTATTTTATGCATTGAATGACATGAATATACCCTCTTTAGGAGGGTGGTATCTTAGTGACATCTTTGATTGATCTGTTGTATTTCATGTGACTTTTTATAAGCTGTCCTACTGCTATAACAGCCATTGGAGATAGCTCATAGCACCCTTAAATTTGAGACTGGTGACTCCTTGCTCACACCCTTCACTCCTAGTAGGTTTAGGATTGATGCATAGTAGAAGACTTGAACTTAGAGTCTTGAACAATTGAACTTAAATAGAGGTATTTTTCTCTACTTTACAAGTTGTATTAGAAATTGAATGCATTGGATATATCTTTGAGGATTTTTGTCCACTTTAAATGTTTGATGCTATTTTTAAATATTGTGATTTTTAGCCTATTTATTATTTATAATTAATAAATGATCACAAGGACAAGCAAAAGGTGGATGAGGAAAGGCCAATGAATATCGGGAATTGAGCACATCAAGACCCTATTTGTGAAATCCGAGTCATTGTAGGAGGGTTTCCCAAGGGAGGCAAGTCATCCTCGGCTCAAAGAGTCACATTCCCAAGGTTCGAACATCTTCTAAACTTAATGGAATCTATATGGTTGACTGACCACCTAAGCAATATAGGTCAGAAGAACCTCTCTCCTTCTCTAATCAAGACCTTGAAGGTATTCAGATTCCCCATGATGGTCTTTTGGTGGTGTCCCTAACTATAGCCAACTTCAAGTTCAAAAGGGTACTTGTTGACAGTGGCAATTTAGCCGATATCTTGCACTTGGACGCATTCAAACAACTTGGTGTCAGGAAGAAGAAATTGATAGCAACTAATTCTCCGCTTATTGATTTCTCAAGTGAGAGAACCTATCCGTGGGGATCCATCCTCCTTACAGTCCTTGCCGGTAAAGCCCCCGATGGTCCACTATCATGGTTAATTTCCTTGTTATGGACTCCCCATTGTCCTATAACATTATCATGGGACGACAATCTATCAACACACACTAAGTTGTTCCCTCAACTTATCACCTGATGTTGCGATTCCCAACCCCAAGGGGCATAGGTCAAGTCAAGAAAGACTAGCTGGTGGTAAGAGAATGTTATGTTGCCTCAATAAAAGAAAAGGCCTCGAAAGAAGCCCTTCAAATAGAAATCCTTGATGTAAGGGAAGACGAAGGTAGGGG